GCAGGTTCTGATCGCCGACTTTTTGCAGTCTGCCTCAGTCCCCCAACAGCCCGCGCGGCCTTTAGTAACTCGGTCGAGGACCGAGCCGGTTTAATTTTCGATGGCGTCAATACCATGACTGGCAGGTGGCTAAATTTTATGGATACTTTGCCACGGTCTCCAACCCTCCTCGTTTATCAACCGGGCTTGGGGCCGGTAGCGGCGTAGTTCAGTTGAACTGCTTTAATATATAAGTAGAAGTGTTCATAAAATTAATTGACATAATGAGATGGTTCGTATGCGCGAGCAAGTTTTATTATTAGATGTCATGGTTATAATGTTTGATGCAGTACCAAGGTGTCAGCTGACAATCAGTCAGTAAATTTTACATGTTTAAACAACAACATTTGATTTCAGCACAGAATACTGTCATCATACTTGCAGAATTTAGTGACAAATTTACATGCGGAACGGTATGTTACTGTCCTCTATGCCTCGTGTTTTTCTACTATTTTTCAAGCTGCTTTCTACCCTCATCTGACTGTCGAAGAATCCCGGCGAGAAATGGTATGGTATTTACGGGCGGGTGGGGATAGCGCTATAAAAGCGACCAGTTCTCTGATGTTTGGAAGATGCTTTCATGAACACTATGAGTAACAGATGGTTATAGTCGATCAGCAACGGTTGCCTCAGACGACAAGCCGCTTTGATCGTTGTTACCGTTCGATCATCTATTTCCTTGGCGCTGAATCTGTTGAGGTGGGCGTCCATCATTACCGCGCTTCTAAACTACTTTTGTTAATAAGACAATGAATATCACTGGGCCAGCGTATATAAAGGATGGTACCAGGCATCCAAAAGCAAGCTGACCCACAGATCAGTAACCTTATTAGTGGCAGCAGACAAGGCAAACCTCTGAGGTACTTTCGAGAACTCTGAAAGAACGTGATCTAGCCAGTTCGGTTTGTCGTTCAGCAGGATCCCCAAGTATTTCACAGCGTTGTTGCATGGTACCGACTCTCTTCATAGTGACAGGATGGTGACCTTCGGCGACTAGTGGCTGACACTTGATGTTCTTCACTTGATAGTGATGGGTCAGGTGGGCGCTCCTGCTACAATTTAATACTGGAACATTGTTTTGGATTCACACTTCGACTCTGTTTCCTGCGTGTTATATTTTCCACAAGCTTAGTTCATTTCTGATGGCTGAAATTTGATCCTTATCATTTGCATTCTTGTATATGAGACTGGGCTGGCAGTACTAAGCGCGCTGAAGTAGAAATTAAAAAGCGACCCTAACAGAATGGAACTCCCTACCCCTAGATGCTTCTGAGCCCTTGATTAGCCACGCATCCCTGCAACGTCATGCTGATGTAGTCCCCCAACCAGTGAAGTAATTTCATGACGACATCGGTTTCTTGAAAACGGTTCAGAAGTCCTCTGGTAGCACGACATTAAATGCTGTGAGGAGGTGTGTAAAAATTGCTCTAGCAAAAGTGTCTATTGAGTCACCCGCTGAAATGATCAATTCCAGCAACAGGGGTTAGATTGGCCACAGGTAAGGGCGAATTGCTAATTGTGGTTCACATTCCGAAGCTTTTTTAGAAGCAGTTACTGAATGAGGGTCTCGAAAGCTTCGAGAAGAATTGGAAGGAATTGCGATCAGTAGGTCTATAATCATTCGGCTTAAATGCTGGTAATATCATCCCGAATCCTGGTCCTGTAATAAAAATTTTTATTATGGTGTATAATATTAAAACTTGTTCGTTACGAATGAAGAGACAATTTTCGATGGAAGGAATTCGATCAACTATTTTTAAGTATAACCAGTCGAGAATCGTGTGGCGAGTG